AGCAAATTGTTGGGAACAGGGAATCGCAGGCGTCCCGATTAGGCCTAAATCGTTCGGGTCCCCCAAAAGAAATGGTATTACCGAGTCGTTAAACGGGCCTGTCGCGACGTCACCCGATAAATCTTTCTTAATGAAGTGGCCCTTGAGAAGTCTCACCTTACAAATTTAATTCGGTGAAGATCATGCAGTACACCGACAAATGCGATCCATCGTTTGAAGCTCAAGGTGCATTTTTATTTAGAAAAAAATAACCGATCCAAATGCATTTACGATACTTATAGGAATAAATGGTTTAACTGAGTTGTTTTAGGCGTTTGGGCCCAATTTTTTCACTTGGATAAGCTTGGACTCTTGTGACTGAGAAGGAGAAATGAAAATATTAGCTATTCTATTTTTTATTTTAAAACATCGGAACGCATTTTTAATTTAATGTAACTGATCAACTAGACGAACGAACTTCGATTTTCAGTAGGCCTAATTGTTTTGCAGTTAATCTACCTCATGATGCTGCAATAGTAACCGAGGTCCAGTTTTGTGTACGGCTGTTTTAAGATATTTTGCACGTTTAATAAAGCTATTATAAAATATAATAAAATGAAGAAATAAAATTGACATGCCACAGACTCTATTATCGTGTTCCATCTTCAAATCTAAGATGTGTATCTTTTGAGATCTAAGGCAAATCAGATGGTAATACCGTCATTAAGAAAGAAGTTCAGATATGCAACTGAAGCCTGAAATTGGGAGGAAAATTGGGAGAACAATAGACTCCTGTTGGAGAAGTTTGATGGCAGCAAGCGCAGAGAGAGAGAGAGAGAGAGAGAGAGAGAGAGAGAGAGAGGGAGAGAGAGAGCGAGCAGTTCATACTGCGTATGACGGGAATATATTCAATATATAAACATAAGTTCATATAACATAAATATCTTTCATATATATATATTTTTTCATGAATAACATTTTCATTGACCTAACTCAGTAATTCGTTGTCGTTGTATGAAAAGTATAGACATTCACGAAATGTTTAAATGACGCAAAAACGTCTTTTAAATTATAATTTCTTGTTAATTTATTTAATTATTTTAAAATTTCACTTACATTTTCTAATTTGTCCTGCTTACACGCAAACGTGATCATATTGCTAGTTACATAAAAAATAAATCAAACGGGACACATCGGGCCATTTTTACACGCCGTATCTTAAAAAGCATTCCCTCGGGGAACGACTGCCAGAAAATAAAACCGAGGCTGTTCGTCACGGCCCGTGTTCAACCGATTTAAAGCGCACTGATCAAACGAGCCTTTTTGTCTTCTACATTGGGATGGCAAAGTTACAACAATTCACACGCGGGGATAATACGAGGGTATTCTTTCCATCATTTAGATAAGAAATTGTTTATCTTTTAAAAAGAACATATATACATAATATAATTTAAAACCAGGCTTAAGCCCTTGTTTCTTTTGATGAGGGAATAACTTTTTGTTAGCGGGATAAATCTAGGAAATACGACACTCTACGATTAAAGACAAAATAATAAAGGTAATAAGGCAAGTAGACTGAAAACTGGTTAGTGTAATTAATGCTGTTGAAAAATATGTGACAGTTATATCTGCATAATAATCGTGTACATTATGGTATGTACGATAAAACTTTCAAGATGGATAGAATCGCTTTGCTTTTTGTGTAGGATGGCGAAGAACACACCTTAATTCTGTAAATGTGTTTAGTCATCTCTATATACATGTTTCCACGGGAGCTAAACAGGCACTGAGTCCAAGGATATTTCTCAGTATTAAATAATGTGAGACACAGCAGCACACAGCTAGCCGCCCCCCCCCCCCCCGCCCTCCCTGTGCCCGGCTTCCCTTCCTCTTTCACCTCTCTGGCTGAGTCCACGGGCTATTAAAGGTCGAGTTTGTCCTGCACCGTTGTGAACACCCCTGCTGACTGCAGCTTACCATCAAAGCCTATATTGTTCTAACCATAGGGTGGGCTATTAACTGGGGAAACAGGAAAAGTAGTCCAGCCTCTTTTCATGAGCAAATTCTGTAGCCATGGGCCTACAATAAATAACCAAATCAATAAAATAAGTATTCCTAACTTACTGTCACGTTAACATCAAATACGGTGCAAAGTATTAAGTAAGCTGTAAGGCCTTTATTAGTGGTCACTTGTTGCTAGGTGTCATTTTCGCTGTTTTTCTTTTTGGAGGGCAACAATATCTTAAGATAAATAGTTCACTCTCCGAAAGCTACTGGAATTATTTCCTATATAAACTTGAGTTTTATTATTTCGTATTTACTAAGGTGCTTCGCGTTGGAGTATAACTCTTACAAGTGCGGAACTATATACTTTTGCAAATACGAATTTTTTTATTTATGTATTTATTTGTTTGTTTATAAGAGCCTTATTCATAATCAGTTATAAATCATGTGCGATAAAATCCTCCGTTGTAAAGCAAAATAAGTTTGTTTTGGGAGAGATTTAAGGTGTTGCTGGGACCCTGAATCCCAGGCTGCGGACGCGCTGACCGAGGGGGCAGCGCGCATCTGCCTATCTTTGATGTTCACTCACTGCAGCCAAGTTCTGAAATCTCCACAATTAGGTCCGTATTGTTCCCCCCTTAAAAAACACTGCATGCAAAGAAAAGGCCTTCACTGTCGGAGCCAATCCAACGAAGCGTTTGACGTTATTAAATAATAAAGAGATGGCGATTTACATTGTTGTCTGGAAAAAAAGGGCCAATTATCCACTGTTATATTGCTATTAAGAACGTATTAACTCGAATTTGTTATAAAACAATGTGTTTATATTTGAGTTTAAGTTGATGATATCAGGTGCAATGTTCGCATGCTTTGCCATTAAATAAACATTCCCTAAAGCTATGTATTGTGTATAAAGGCGAATGTTTAACATTTACCGGTGTCATACCAACACGTAGTCTAAATTTAAAAGGAAAATAATTGAAAGGCTCTTGTTGTGATATGCCATTATTTAATGATTTCTTTTTAAGTAGACACACCCCTTTGTTTTATATCATATATTAATAAGTTTTCGGTGAATTCGCCGAAAGTTCAAAAGTTAAATGCTGTAAGTGTGGGAGGCGTACAAATCCACGTTGATAAAATTTAAAGTTTATAGACCTCCAATCTGGTCACAGTTTATATTTTTGATGGTTTCATTTTACACCTTGCACGTAACAATCTGTATACCAGTCTGCGCATCTTAAGAATTCTGCATGTTTTCGACTACTTGAGGTGTAAAATCTCTACTTTTCCGACCATTATTTAAATCGTACATTAAACGAATAATGTATAAAATCCTATCTTTTAAAAACGGTGTTTTGTTGGGCAAACGTAGGCTATGCGGTCACCACTCCAAATGAGTTACGCGAGAATTTCGCAAACAGCAGAAGGACAGCCGGGGCTCCCATTCCGCAATCTCAGAAAAATAACAACGATTAGTTTAAAAAAAAGTTTAACTGCTATAATACTTTAAAAATATTTGGTGCACTGTATGTCGACCCGCTGTGCGCTATTTCCTCCCATCCAGCCACTCTGCAGCAGTGATAACAATGACAAACCTAATGATGGTGGCGATGAGAATTGAGACGAAGAGGGCACATTAGCGGAGCTCCGGAGAAATTCAGACTAGTACTTGTGTGATTTGTGAAGCACTAAAATGCACTCAGTGAGGCCTGGGCGAGGGGAAAAAAAGTCTGAGAAGCGCAGAGTTTATGCCATGCTGGCTGACAGTGTGTGGTCTATTGAAGAGAATGCGCATTTTGGCCGAGGGGAGAGACCCCCATCCCCCCGCTTTCCTGCACCTGCACTGGATCAGGGAGCGACTGGCATTCACCCCATGAGAGACTGTTAAAATAGACGACATCTCTGACAGTTTTCAATTCAACACATCTCACAATGTTGCACGCCTGCCCTCCGCAACTCCCCCCTCCGAAAAAGAAAAAAAATAAACTGTGAAGAACAAGTCATTATTTATACCGACGTTTCCCCTGTTTTGCATGACATTAACCCGAATATCCAATTGTTTAGAGGTGTTTAAAAAAATGCTTAATTTAAAAACCTTAAAGAATAAGCAAACTATTTCTGCTGCTGTAAGTAGATGGGAAATGAATGATACACAAACTCATGTTAGACAAACACGTCCTATACGCACAATAGCTGCTACCAATTTGTTTTGTTATATTATGGAACAACTCAGATTTTAAATTAATTCAAAATATTAAATTATGTAACCAATAATATACATAAAATATAACTTTTTCGAGGCAGGTGCTCGTTCGTCTGTTAACGAGGCAAAAACTGGACGATAACTGGCCTAACCTTAATTTTAAACGTTAGCCCCGAGTCGTTATTGTAATGTACAACATACTGTCTCCGAAATGTTTGCGACAGGGAAATGAAGCTAAAATAAAATACATTCATAATTTACAGACAGATTACGTCATGCTCCTCATTAGCATTCAGTAAATCTGGTTGCGGATGATAAGCTTCTCAGGAGGAGTTTGCGTGTGTTCACCACACCAATTACGTCTTTTTACCCAAGTCCTAGGACAAAATTCAACCAAATAAAAAACCAAGTAATATTAAATGTTTTACTCATCACACCACGTGCCTTCACTTCCTAATAAGTTAACATCTTTAAAAAATGTACACAAAATCTACACAAGTGAAACGATTGAACAGCATCATGCAAGATAAAATTAACCGGCAACAGAGGCTACCTTAAAATAATAAACAGCAATGAGACAGTCTAAAATGATTGCCAGACGGTATTTGTCTCAGCTATAGATGGGAAACTAGGCGCTTCAAAAGGCGGAGTGCACGCAATGAAGATCCCTAACTTGTTATCGATGACGACTGTGGCATTAAAAGCACTCGTTGTGCGAAATTATAAGGGAATTTTTTCGTATAAATAGAAATAAATACGCGACAAAATTATTAATTGTTATTTATTAACGAGAGAACTAATATACGCTTACCACCTGTTGCTGCTCATATTAGTCTTAAAATGTCACCACCCTTCCAATGTGTGCTGTCGCAATACACTTTTCACTTTCCTGAAGTCTCCTGGTCTTCTCAGTTTTATCCTGATCCTGTTGCATAGAGAATGATATATCGAATTACAAAATTCAGTATTTCTGGTGCAACATACAGAAAACACAAAAACGCAGGTTTATGACTTGAGTACACAGTGCAAAACTACGATTATTCAAACAAATGTCACTGATGTACACATTTCCATTATTTACAGTAACATCTGAGCAGTGTACCGAGAGCAGAAACACACATCTAACGGGCTGAACGCAAACCTGACAATGCATTTTCAGTTTCTTCTCGTAATGACTATGAATGAGGATCGCGTCGCTACTGCAGGACAGGCTTGTATGTGCGCCGGGGGCAACGCCATGTCTTCTCGGACGACTTTGCAAGTCACAAAACCTCAGTGGGGGTCCAGTACACTTCCTATAAAGCTGAAGACTGCAGAAGTTTAGTTGTAATTTTAGACCGCTTTATATGTTTTAAAGAAAGTTCCAATACCTGTAATAAATACTCCCACTCGCCATTATGCATAAAATTAATTAAAACATATACAAACATAATAAAAAAATGTTTCCCCGGCGTCTAGCATATTAATACTCACACTTTAATTATTTACGAAAATATCAGCGTTAAAAAAATAAATGTGAGGCTGAGCTGTATAGTTTTCATATACTATAGTTAATTTAAACATGTTCAATCTATTTTTCTTCTAAATGAAAGAAAATAAATATGATACTCTAAACGTATGCAAGTAAGCATTTTTTATAAATAGTACTAATAGGATGAAGCGCATCAAAGTCTATAAAATATATGCACCATTCGATCATTAAAGTTACTAGTTCAAGAAACATGTTCCGCTATTACAACCCGGTCCACTAGTTGTATAAATAATTAATTGAACCACTGCTCCCTGACCCTTTGAAAGTCCAGCAGGGACACGTTTGTAGAAATAATACTTGGGAATGAGCCCTAGTCAAATATTCATTTAGCGGTTAATGCGAGCCCTTCTCCCTTGAGATGCAGTGTAATAGCAGCTTCCCAGGCCTGGCAGGGAACTCTGCTAATCTACGTCTGCAGTTCAGCTAAACATTGTAATACCCTTCACTTTTTAAATGCTATTTATTATTGTTGTTGTTTTACCTCATTATCTTTTTTAAACGGGCAGCAAAACGGGATGACCTTATCGCCATTAAATTTTAAGATAATACATATAGGCATATTTATATACAGATACGTTAGTGAAAAGGTGTTCTAATAGAATATTATTATTGAAGATGTTAGTTATGAATAAATACAGGCTAATGCTAATATGAAAATGAGTCTTGCTTCGGTCTTTAGCTTGTTTTTAATGGATGTAGCGGTTAGACAGAAATCATTCATTGGAAAAGGCTTGACACTCCTTAAAGCTAAATATATTAGGTATATAAGTAACACATTGAAATATCTTTATAAAATTAAATTATTTGAAATGAATTGAAAATTAATTTTAAATGGTCGAAGGCCTAATATGGCGCTTTAATATAGCGGTGTTTGTTATATTGCCAGAGGCGCTGATATAATAACATGTGATGTGTTGCTCTGCTCCATTTTTTAATGATTTGCGTTTATTTTCACATTTTCTTATCAAACCACGTGAAATCCTAATTATTTATTAGGTCTAAAAGGTCTACCGTTTTAATACAATACAATATGTATTATATTACACAATATCGAACAGTCTCCGAAGTCGACAAATCCATTAAGTACTGAGAGACAAAAAAAGAAAAACAGCGTTTTTTAAAATAGCAAATGAAAACTACCTTGATGAAAATCGTCGCTATATTTGGCGTCCTATCTCTGCCCTTCAGGGAAACGAACACAGGCACCAAAGTTTTGAGTTGTAGAGGGTTCCCCGCACATCCTTTAACGCGATGCTTGCGTTCACTAAAAAGACAGAAATGTCGTTACATTTAGTACAAGCAGAGCGTCACGTTTATTATGAAATATACGTTTAATTTCTTGTGGGATACAGCCAACATATCCCATACTTACTTGAAAGCAATGCAAAGTGCATGTTTTCCATGTCCCTATTTCTGATTTTCCTAATGTGACATTAAAAGAGATTACATTTTACTTTTACATGCAGTTATTAAATAAGGAAGGTTTCTGCAGAATGTACTTCAGATTAAGAATAAAATTAGACACAGCTGATACACTACGCAATATATAATACAAAAAAGTAATAAAAATTCTAAAGGAGACGACAAGACATTTAAAAAGACAGAAACATACACACATGCATAATGGAGTTTCCTATATGCGGTTTCAACATAATAAGACTCCTTTCATTTGTAATTTAAAACACATGGAGGGTGAATGACAGTCGCAGAAAACCTACAATGATAAACAAAATCAAAACTCGAACAAATTTCAATATCAAAAATTCAAAAATTTATTATTTTCAAACTGCATATTGAAAAAAAACGTAAGCTGAAAATGTAACTGTTATTATGATATTATTAGTTCAAATATGTACAAGTGACGGCAACTGCTCTAAATACAGGCCAAATTTTAAAATACAACTATGAAAATGGAAAAAAAAACTTAAAATATCACAGTAAATATACAGAAATATTACAAACCATGAGAAAATAACACAAACTTCATATCTTTAACAGATGAAAAGTGGGACACAAAATTATAAATTAACAATTATGTTTAACCTTCACGAAAAAAAGGTCTTTTCGTATTTTTACTGTGAACAAAATTGAAACGATTTAGCACTCTAATTATTTTCAAGAAACATTTTACCTGATTTATATCAGCTCTTTTCTTTTAACGTTTTGCAATATTATAACCAAATCCAGCTCATATCTATTTCGCTTTTTTGCAGAATTGTTAAAAAGACTAACTGCCTAGAGTGTACAAACATTACATTTTGATTGCGTTTATTTGATAAATACTGTACAAAACTTGATTGCAATAATAAAACACTTGATTGAATGAGATTCTCACTCTTTAAAATCCAGTTCACTTTTGGGGAAAAAAGAAAAAACGTCTTGCAAAGTTCCTACCGTTCCTCTATAACTTTTCCTTAAAAAAAAGAACAGAAAAAGAAAAAAGTTCGTTCCTTGAGTCCTATACAATTTCTCCCCCAAACGAGCTGTACAAAAATAGTTCACAGAAGTCCAGTTTGAATAAAAAGGCGCATTTACATATGTGATAACGGCAGTGTGCCATTAATTGTTGTGCCAGGTACAGGTGCGCTCTGATAATGTTGAGACATATGAAGTCTGGTTTGGGTCGTTTGTTCTGGTACTTCAGCACCTGGAAGGTACATACTGATCATGTCCCGAAGGTCTCCGGTCTGACATGGAGCAGCCCTTGAGTGAGCCGGTGAAGTGACTACGGGTGGACTGGAACTGGACTCTGACTTGACTACCGAACCCATAGAGCCCAGAGTCATCCCGGGAGCGCTCTGCTGGGAGTAGGACATGCTATACGTGGGCGATCCGTTCATATAGCTCTGTGAGCTGGTCATAGAGTTATACTGAAGAGCGCTCATATCGTACCGGTGCATGGGCTGCATCTGTGCCGTATTGTGCGCGTTTAAGCCAGGATGTTGCGGGTAGCCAAGCTGCTCCTGCATCATACCATAGCCGCCGTTGGTCCAGCCATTCATATGCGCATAGCTGTCCATCCTCTGATTGACCCCTGCGCCTAAGCCAGCCCCAACACCCACCCCGGCGCTCATCGCATTACCGCCCGGCGCGAGAAGCCCACCTTGCAGGGTGTATTTGTCCTTCTTCATTAGCGTCTTGGTTTTCCGCCTAGGTCTGTATTTGTAATCCGGGTGTTCCTTCATATGTAGCGCTCGGAGGCGCTTTGCTTCGTCGATAAAAGGTCGCTTTTCGCTCTCCGACAGAAGTTTCCACTCGGCCCCGAGTCGCTTACTAATTTCCGAATTGTGCATTTTAGGGTTTTCCTGCGCCATTTTTCTCCGTTGCCCCCTAGACCAAACCATGAAGGCGTTCATTGGTCTCTTTACTCTGTCCGGACTGTTTTTCTGGTTGTTTCCAGATGAATTAGAGTTCCCCGTTCCCCCAGAATTTGGCTGGGGTGCGGGCGGTTTGAGTTCGGTTTCCATCATGTTGTACATTGAAACTGATCTTGTTTTAACCTGCTACACCAAAGAAGAAGTCCAAACCAAAGGTAATTGATACCTTGCGGGATTTCTGTAACTTCACTCAAATAGTAAACGACTTTGCTGCGTTCACCCAAAGCGAATCCTGTTTTGAATCCTGATGTGTCCAGAAACTTCTCTCTTGGTCTTTTAAGAATCAACAAACTACTTTTTTCCCTCTTCGGCAGAGCCTTGACAACTCCTGATACTTTTTGAACAAGTTAATAGACAACCATTCATGTGATGAGGGCTGTCAGGGAATAAATGGGTTTTACCTGACCAATCACAGAGCGACTGTTCCCTCGACCAGGATTGTGTGTTTTATTAGCATAAAGGGGCGGGGTTACCGCTGCTCAGTAGTGCTACAGCGTGCCAGAAGCTACTCTCAAACCACCCAATAGAAACTTCATATTTAGTATTAAAGCAGGTGCCAAAGCGAAAATATTTGACTACAGTGTCACACTGGAAGTGCTTCCCACTAAAAATAATAGGAATATGCGTTCCCGAGACTTTTACTTTGCGTTAATTTTGGTATGTATACAATGAACAGTTGTACAATGTTCGAGAATAGTGATTTACAAAAGTTTTACTGTACTATAGCTGCATGAGAACCAAGGATTTCTCTTTTTTCTGAAAACCCGTATCGAATGTATAATATTAATTAAATGCTATTTTTTATTTGATATATTTTTGATTGAGTAGTGTTGGATATTTAAATTTATTGGCCGTAAAAACTTTACCATACCTCATTTTCGGTCCTTCTCATTTTTAAATTAATCAAACTGCCTTAAAAGAACTTATTCTCTAATTAGACATGGTTAAATATATTATGACTGCAGATGATCTAATTTAAAAAACAAAAAACTAGATTTTAAAGTTCAACCAATAAAGATACAAAATGAACGTGCAATTTCTGAACTAAATGCACCTCTTATAACCTAGTAACAATTAATTATATGATAATCCTCTAGATTTATGCATAAACAACTTTTTCATTATTAAATAAGGGGAAATATACAAGACATTAAAGGAGTTAAATGAAATGACTCAGAAATATAAACTTTCCAACCACAAAGTTGTTGGTAGTTACTGCACCGGATCACATAAAAGAAAAAGTAACCTACCATCTTTCGCTTTCTTGAGCGCTGTTGCTAAATTATTATACGCAAAAAGTACAGCATGTATTTTCTGTTTTCACTGAAGGGTTTAAAACTGTAATAATTAAACTAAAAATGAGGTGTATCAACAAAACAGAAGAAGACATATATATAAACCATCAAGCTACAACAGATAAATAGTAAGGTTTTATATATATATATATATATATATATATATATATATATATATATATATATATATATATAAATAAATGGGTCTTTTGGAAACCAAATGCATGCAGCTACTCGCTTAGGCAAAGTAAACACGTATGCGTCATGTGCGAGATCAGTGCAGATAAGCGAATGTGCACATACATTCAAAGGTGACGAAGTTGGCCGACGCTGAACCCGACCACTTTGCTGTGTACCAATAGCGCCGTCTAGTGGTCAAACTGATTCATATTAGCTATTTTTAATTTATTTTATAATACATTCCGAATACATAGGTGCGTTTGTGATCAAGTCAAACCTTGTCGTGTTAATAAGTGATAAAAGAGTACACTATATACAGAAAGGACCGCTATCTGCATTATTTAAAATCATATTATAATTTTGAAATGTTAAAATGATAAAATCGATATTTGTTTCGCCACGATGCTGTAATATTTCTTTAAAAGTGATGTTAGATTGAAGTTATGATTTAAATAAAGTTTCTTACAGAAATAATAGTGAAATGCACACCTAGATATGAAGGCCCTTCCTAAGTGACAGCACTACAGGCCCACCGTACCGCTGTGTAATTGCGTCCAGGCATCTGCATTTGAGTTCTTCTCCACTCCTAATTTGCTAATGGAAATGCAGGAGAGCCGCGGGGAGCCCTGTACACTCTTGGAGAACATCCTCGTTAACTGGAATTTCTCAGCATTGCTAATTAGTGCAATATGACGACCGCCACTGTTTGAGGAAACACAATTTAACTACTAACGCGAATATTATTATTATTATTATTAATAATAATAATAATAATAATAGTAATAATAATAATAATAATAATAATAATAATAAAAGAAGTAGAAGAAGCTACAGGCGCTCTTAAAAAACAGACTACAAGCAAGACATTCCCTTAACCAAAGCAGATTCCATATTATTCAACACTAACTTACATTTGGCAAAACATAAAAGAATAAAACACAAACGCTTCGTTTCGCTCTGTACCCCTGACTCGCTCTGCCACGGCTTCTTCGGTATTACTTACATAATATTAGTTAATAACTATATAATCTAGCAAAACACAGGAAGAAGGTGTACAGCAATGGCAACAGATATTACAAGTTTACACTACTGATTTTTTCTTATTGTGGCATCAAGTCAACTGACAATTACATTTCGATAATGATAGCCTTTTATTTGTTTTCAAGAGCAAAGGTAAATAGAAATCTTGTTGCTAGGTTGCTCAGACTGCATTACATAAAAAAGATTACACACATGGATAAAACCATACATTTTGCATTACTAGAGTAATCATTATACAAACGGCGTCTTAAATAATTACAGATATAATCACGGTTGAATGAATTGATTGTGAGACTCATTTTGTCCACTAGAGGCCGTACTAGACACTACAGACGGCAATAGAATTTTAAATATAAATTTGTAATAATTACTGCAATAGTAATAATAAATACCGGTAAAATAGTAGCCTTTAAAATAATATAAGAAGAAGATCGAATATTTATAGTATATCCCAAAAAGGGGAAAATATAAATATATTTCCACAATTACGATTTACATGTCTTACACATTACGTGTAACTGCAGCATTTTTCATTAATTTTAAAAGTCATTATTCAAGCCTTGTTGCGTCACCAAAGCAAAGCATAATATAGGCCTACATAAGTTCTATTGACAAACATGTACTCAAAAATCAAACATGTTTATAACTAAAGAGGGACACGCAACGTACAACCAAGCCTGTTATGGCAGTTTAATCGAACTACTAATGAGCTTTATAACCTTAAGAACATTTTCAGTGAAGCCAGAGTAAGACTGGACAGTACTTAACACCTTTTCCAAAAGAGGGGGTGAAAAGTGTTGGGGCGTCCTTTAAGTTGAAGTTTAAAAAGTTTTTTAATACAACCATGGCAGCTAATTTGGTGAAATGTTGTGATATGTTCAAAAAGTTGCGCCCTCGTGGGTCTTGCCATAGTCAGTCTTTAGCCTTGCCTGAATTAGACGCTTTCCAAAATGCAGAACTTTCGATACGCATTAGCCTTTCCAGTCAACCATTTTATTTTTCTTGCAGTTTCTTTATTTGTCACCAATGCATAACGCAGTCCCATGCTTCGTATAGGAAACGTGCAAGAGTGTCTCCCAAAAATCGAAATAAACACATGGCCATGTCTCGGATGAAAGCGCAAAAGCCCCACAAGCGCTCATTTTCGCCTAAAGCAGCACTTACTATAGATCGCAGGATCGTCACCACTGAACTTCACGTAAAACACGCAGAATCGCTTTTCACCGTTCAGCCTGCGGAAAAGCTTGTTTTACTCATATCTCTTAAGTTCCCGCTGCCAGAGATACTTACTTGCCCGACTGGACTCCCCTCTTGTGGTACACTGAGTGGCAGGAAAAAGGTGCCGCGTCCGCCCATCCGAAGGAGCCCCTCTTCGAGCAGCCTTTTTTCCGCCGGCCATGCCGGGCAACCCCCAGACTCCGCTTCGCGATCCTCCGATGGGTCGCCCGAGACACGGAGCTCCCACTCCAGCAAGCAACCATCTAAGTCCCATCACCAAGCGCTATAGCCTTAGCTCGCTACCCCTGTAACAAGAAAAGCCTTTTATGCCTACAGATATCTGAAAAGGGCCCGGTTTAAAAAGACGAAGAATGCACCCAGAACAACAAAAAGTCAGTCATGGCGAGTCCGTATTATCCCCCCGCCAAGCGGAATGAGAAGAACAAGCATTATATTTTTTCACTGAGTATTCAAAGATAATTTGAAGCCATTGTTTCTGGTACAGATGGGTCTTTTTAATACAATAACACTGCTCTTTGTGAATACTACCCACAATAAAAATCTAAAGCGTTCCCTTGAATAACCATTTTGTTCTCTCTTGTATAAGGCCAACAAAAGCTGCCGTGAGGTAATGGGTTCTGTTTATTGAAGCCGCAGAATAGGGATTTGATAAAGATTTTTTCCTTTGCAAAAATACATCACAAAGTCAGATGAAACTCCCCTGTCCTTTCAAAGCAAAGTTATTATTATCGATAACAATAACCAGGTACTTAAATAGATAATGATGCACAAAATACCAGCAGCAAATAAATTAATTACATTAAATGAAGACACTTTTAATATATACCTAAAGTTATGCCTAACAACAGAAATGCTTTATCAAGCAGCTAAATATTTTTTAAAGAATATTTATTTTATGCATTTACTGGTAAATCAGGAGATTAAGTTTATGAACATTACACATTTAAAGTTAACATGATTTATAAATAATAGTATGATTATTTTTAGCTATATATTATACACCATTACATACACACACATCTTTGACTAAAAGGAGACGGAAAGTTCTGTGGCCATTTGTGTGTACAGAATACAGTTTGTTGCAGACGCTATTTTTTAATCTGGGAGACGGTAATCAATAAAGTAGTTATAGAGTTACAATAGCGCTTTACAAGTGTGTTGGAACATAATATATGGAATGTCACTGACCATTACGCTTCTGCATCACCTAGACTTTGGCTTTGGCTGGAGCTGAGGTCTTTATCAGTGGTGACAGGGACCCTCAAAAGACAGAGAAACTCTGAGACAATGGATCTCAGCAGGGAAAGTTTTTAGTCACAGACTATGTATTTGTCTACCTTTGTATAGGAATTACTGCCTCCCTCTACCTTTCTGCAGCTCCATACTGACAGTAATCCACCCCAATGGCTCCAAGACTTTGTCTTTTCATGGAACATGCTTCAGTGTTAATCTCCAAGGTGCTGCTACAATGGAAGGTAATAATGACTTCAATCAAAACACCACCCCCTTTAATTAGCCTGCAAGGTGAAGCCAGCACAGGAAAGGAGTCAAGCAGATTATAAAGAGAGACTAATAACAACAGGAAAAACAGCAATCAGGTGATAGGATTATTATGGCCAAGCTAGAACCAAGCTGCATTTTAAATTTCATTGAATCTGTGTGGTGAAATGCCTTAAGTTAATAGGTATTTTTCAAAGTACTTTCTCTTTTGTGGAAAAAGTCCCTGTATTAAGCATTATTGTCAAGAGGATTAACAGATTTACTGTTAGCAATATGCTTAGCCGCAGACTGTATTCATTTGACCTGCAAGTTAAAAATCAAAATACAGCACAGCATCCAATGTCTGTCTCAAAAGTGTGTGGCAACTGCAACCACGTGTTTAGGCCTCAAAACAAAATACCAGCACAGGGATTAGAAAGCATGTCTTAAGCATTTTCTGCTAAACAGACTAAATGATTTCTGAACAAGCAAAGCATCCATTTCAGAGTGAAAAATTATCACCCTACGCAAATGCGATTTTTCTATGCATTTCACATAACCAAGGTATACAATAAGGCAGGAAGGATTTTTTAAAGAAGGAAACAAAACTTGAAACAAGTAAATTAACTGCTAATCGCTGATGTATCCCCAAGAAAACTTAATATCAAGCGATAAAAGGCAAGAACAAATTTTCTAATATGTTTTTTATGACAAGTTCTCACAGGAATTTGAAACAAGAGTCAACTGCTTCTTATATTCTTATGTCCTTACAATGGATCTCAATCACACTGCTGATGAATGTTTGAGAATTAAGAGGACTTTCATGTGTTTTTGCTAAAGCAATTTATTTTCCCTTGTAGCACTGACAAAACTAAAAATACAAATGACCTGCAGTAATGAAATGACCAGTAAAATAAATTTATACAATGTACAAATTGTCTCACTCTTTCCCCATACATTCTCACAGAGGAAATTTCATTGTAGGAGAGTTTAGACTTTTTTCAAACTATTCATAATGATCTTACATTTACTAGTACAGTGGTACCTTAGAACTCGAACTTAATCCATTCAGAACTTCAGATGGAATCCTAAAAAGTTCGAGTTCTGATCGAATTTTCCCCATAAGAAATAATGGAGAACCAATTAAATTACACCTAAATATGTTTTTTTTAAGCATTTAAACACAAAATGAACCAGAGCACATACTGTACTAAGCACATTTATCAAAACAATCATTTGTAAAGTAAGAAAATAAATGTGTATAGTAAAAAAAAAAAAACCAATGTGTCCTGCCCCGATCTTCCGCTCCTTCCGTGTGCCACGCCCCCTTGTTAACCTCGCGTGGAATCCGTGTGTGATCAGCTGTTTCTGGTTGTTGTCATTAGTCCTCTGTATTTCGTCCGCGTTTCAGTTTGTTTCCCCCTTCCGGTCATTGTATTGTCCGTCTGCGTTTTGCCTGCCTTACCTGTAATTAAACCCCGTAGGCAAAATTACCCTGACGACTGCGCCTTTGTCTCCATTCTGTCCCCGCTGGGCACGACAATATTATTATAATTAAATGTATTCATGGTTTATTATTAATATTAATATCATTAATAAGGATTATTTATTTTAAAATGTATTTTATTATATAATAATTACTGTTACCGCCTATCATTGTCTAAATGTATTTTTACTGCCTAAATATATGTATCCAGCTAGTGTAAACATGCACGATGTTATCACAGCGAATGTGAGGCTGAGACTGAAGCTTTACCCTTTGTTTCCGCTGAGAGACATGCGTGACTCATTTCCCAGCGCGTACAAGTTATATTAGGTCTGCGTTCACGGTTTGACTTCTGAGATTCAGATCGATTTCTAGGTAATTTTTTTTCAAACTGGTTCGTTCGACTTTTAAGAAATTCGAGTTCTAATGAGTTCGAGAACTGAGGTACCACTGTATTTTGAGTTCTCCACTGACTGGTCTGGAACACCAGCAAACCCATAATAATTTCAGCCTGATTTGTAAGTTACAAGTTCTAGTGTGAGCTGAACTGGTAACCATTACAGCCAAGCCATCTCATACTAAACCTTTATTTGGGTTTTCCACATTGTTACATTCATTCCACACATTCAACCCGAATTCACTAATGATGGCTAAAATGGGACAACATATTGCTCCAAATGCTTTTGTGTGTGTGCGTGTGTGTGTGGGGGGGTGCTAATCATTGTTATAAAAGACTAAGATACATACAAGCACAGGTAGAATGTGCTGTGGAATGTTCCAGCTTCTGCCTTATCTATCAGTGGGTCAGACTAAACATCCTGAAACTATCAAAGGAATCAAATAAGTTGGGAGGAACCGAGCAACCAAAACATCCGATAAGGTATCAGACATTCAGCTGTGCCTTTACTCAACTACCTACACTGAGCCTCTGTGATATTGCTAATTAATGCGTACAACACAAAGGACTGGTCAGTCCTATAGGCGGCCGCTTAGGGCGCCCGCTTCTGAGGAGGCACCGACTTGCCAGCCAGTTTCACTTTGCCTGGGACGGGGGTCACTAGCAGTGATGCTCGCTTAGGGCGCCTCATCGGCTAGGACCGGTACTGACGACACATATATGAGTAATGAAGAACATTACAGGCAATGTGCTGGAGACTGCATTCTGGGGTGTTTATCAGGATAGTTGTGGCTGTGATGTTGACCAGCCGATTTCTTTTTCGATGGTAATATCTAGCTCTTGCTGATGTGACGCAGAGAGCAGGGTTTAGCCGTTAGCATCACTGCTACATCCAGCCATGGACACACTCAGCAGGCAAGTTCAGGACTCTCGTCATGTTCTCCGTTTCATCGCCTCCATCAGCGAGTTACGCATCACACCAATAATTTCCATTATTAAATAAAGGAAAAGTGAATTACTATTCTTCTAATTATGTACGTATAATATGGCTCTTTCAAAATATTTTTCACCCTGAAAATGTTTAATTAACATGGATTTTCTCTTTCACAAAGCACACGAAAGAGAGAGGAAAACATTTTATCCAACTTCCACTTGCACACAAATGATTTTATTCTAAATAATCAGCCCAAGTAAATACAGAACAATGAACATGTCTTTTATTTTCACACCTTGGCCTCACTTCAGTTGAATTCAATTAATGGTAACTTGTTGGAAATATGGAAAGCAATGACACACAATATTTCCAGATTAGAACACGCCAAAAATCTGCTGCAGTATATTTGATTATGCTGATCTTACAACCAAATTCCTATTTTGGAAAAAAAAAAACAATATTTTGTGATTTTGTCAATTAGGTTTTAATTTTTTAACAAGATAAAATTAATCATAATTCAATTATTTAATTGGAAACCCTAGCAATCACATTTTAAATTCAAAACATGAAAAGACAGTTTAAAGTATTATTAATAACCACAATACAACAATTTTAATGCAATTGTAAATATACATAATGCAAAAGCTTAGCTAAAAAAATATTGTATACACACACACACGCACACACACTCTTGCAGTCCAGTCATTTTAACACGGAAGGCTGAACGCTGCTAAATAATGTGAACACTGCGCTTACTAGACAGTTATTCCTACCAGCAGACATGCCAATGGTTTTGTTTACTGGCAAATTTGAATTAAAATAAAGCTTTGCTTCTGCTGACTGCACACTGTCATCCATGAGTCTATAATCCCAGCAGCAAATGCTACGGCTTTGCGATGCAGGGCCTTTGTTTGGGATTACTGACAGCTTAGCCCGTGACAAAGGGAAATGAGCCGTCCCCCTCATCCTCTGTAATTAAGTGTGGAGGTAATTTAGAAAGCGACCAAGCCGGGAGCTCAGCATGGCGAGGCACGCGGCTGATTCCCGCGGTGGGCCGGAGAGCCGACCACAGTGCCCACTGCGGCTCCACGCTCATACGGACGTCTACTGTCCCTGTTACCTGCCTCACATCCAAGGAAAAACTGTGTGTAACTAGCGAGTAAAAATATAATCTGTCCATCGTTATTAAATCCCATTATTAATATACCACCTTCATGTCACTATAATATATATACACACACACACACGCACACGGATGGATTCACCACCCTGGAGCCAGGCCACCTGGAGTCTAGAGCCCAACAGAGCTTAGCTTTAGCTAAAGGCAGGGCACTCTGTGGCAGCTGGCCAGGGTGTGACAGTGGTAGCTGCAGACAGCAGCTCTGGATCCCCAACTGAGGGTCTCTGCTTTGCAAGGCCGAAAGCCTCATTCTGATGGCGGTCCAAACATGTTGGTACGTAAAGCCCGGGTCACTGGGGGGAAAGGCAGATTCTCAGGGTGCTTCTTATGGGAGGCTGAGCAAGGATCGGAACAAAGTGTCATCCAGGAGAAAAGCACTTCATGTATGAACATTCAGTGGGTTTTATTTAATAAAGACTCTGCCTCGTAAAACACAGTCTGTTACTGGAAGCCTTCCTTTGTCACTTTTCATGTTTCTGAGGGCAGTTATTATGGGAGGTGCGAATCGGACCACAAACAGATTTAAGCATTACAGCCTAAATGAGAAACTCTAAGCCATTTGGATACAGAGGCAGCCTGTCCTTCCCTTCACACACTCCCCCTCAGGTATGCACACACACACAGACACACATGCACGCACACACAGACACACACATGCATACTCACACAAACACACATACAGACACACACACACACGAACGCGCACACAGACACACACATCCACACAAACACATGAACGCATGCACGTGCACAGACACACAAACATAGACACACACACACACATGCGTATGCGCACACACATGCTTAATTTGACATTATCAAAATGCTGTGAGTTCATGGCAGAGAGTTATCTTTGTAACCTAAGTAGGGGGAAAGTGCAACGCAGTCACACAGTGGGGCAGGACCCAGGTGACCATGTGCGGTCAGTATTTCAGCTACGGCAGGGCAGGCGGTGAGCATACAACGCTGATGGAGTGGCTGTGGCAC